CCCCCCTTCCAATCAAAATTCAAAATATTATATGTTTTGAACATTTGACATTGACATACAAAGAATATTCTGAAATCTGTCAAATTTAAGACTTACCCTTAATGTTTAAATCCATGGCGCTTGGTCTGTAGACAAGTCACACCTGCTTAAACCTATGAATGCTACTTGCACCTCCTTATGTGTCAGTTTGCGTTATCAGTGTTTGTAAAGGTATTAGTGAAGTACCCCTACATGCATGTATTAGTTCAGGTAAAGAGAAACCCCGATCGCATGTGACATGAAATATTCAGTAAACCTTTTATCAAGTACACATTTCATTTAATCTTTCACCCTTAACAGGTGACACGCAACATTTTAAGAGCATTTTAAACTGTGCGTTTTATAAAACATGATTCAAATAGATGATGACTATAATTTAAATATAAAATTGTAACAGTATAAATCAAGATAATGCCAAAACAAATGGAAGAATGAAAGGGATGACGTCATCAACACACACACAAAACGGAAAAAAAATGAGTAAAAACTTATTTTCTGTTTACAATTCACTTATACTGACTAGGATGCTGCATTGAAAAAGAACAATAAATATACAAGTGAAAAAGTATTATAGAATTCAAATGATTGTTTAAACACAGACATTGAAGATAATACATATAAGAGCAGGAAGTTAATACATTTTAAGGTCATGACCCGCGACATATGTTGCTACGTTAGATGTTGACTAGGATACCTGTCAGAATGGTCCAACACAAACAGGCTGTCTAGACATACCTACGTAGCTATGTAGAATGGATATAATTTACCTGTGTTTCACATTCGATCACTTCCTTGTATGTTATCTGCAAGATTACTCATAAAATCAATATCACATGTAAAGAGAATGTGTCATTTTATATCAAAGATAAACACTTTACGAAGTTTATGTATATTTTGAAAACTTAATAACGAAAATGTATACCTCAGTTCTATTCATCATAAAAAAATTGGTTTGTGGATGTTCATAAAACATTTTCTATCTTTGATGTCTCATTGCTAAACTGTTTTTAAATAAGGCCTGTTGTATCTCAGTTTATAATCATAAGAGGCGGCTAATGCGTGACTCCGCTCCCTCCCCGCAGATTCGGAGGTAGTTTCTTCCGGGTATCTTGATTAGGGGCTATTGGAGAAATCAATTATTGATATTGACTTGTGTGCCCCCTCCCTCTGCAGAAACAGAGTTTTGTTTTTACCGTGGCTTCTACTAAGACTAACATTTATCAACTGCCCCATAGCAATACAATGAATGTATTATTTTCTGTTTTTTCTCTTCCTAATCTTTCTGTCTTTTTTTAGTCTCTTTCAAACATTTTCTCCCTAGGCACCCGTCTTCATATGGCTGTATCTTGGACGGTAAACTAATCAGCCCAACAAAAAGTTACTTCTGCTCGTGTTCATAATGTTATTCTTGTAGGTGTCTTAGCAATCGCTTTTGCTGTTGTGTCCTAACGACATTGAAGTTATGCATTGCTTTTGCAATTTAAAGTTATGTGATTGCAAACCGCATCATATTTTCTCTGCGCACATCGCACATAATGATCACAACTATGTATGTAAAAACGCTCACATATGTGCGATATGGTAAGATCAGTTGATCGATGTTACGAAATGAAAACAAATCCTCATATTCGATTGGTATATTGTGCACTTTTTCTAATTCTCCAATGCAATTTACATGTTATTACAATGACTGTACAACTGTTAGTAATAAGGACGTACTGTCAGGTACAGTACTAGTACACATACGTTGTCTATTGCTATGTTTATCGATGATTTGGCAGCTATTAAAACACACCTGGACCTTGCCTGTATTAATTGTGGCAGTCACACTTTTTGTGGAAATTTCACACCTCCTTCACGCTTGACTACAGATACAAAAAAACATTCAACTAACAGGAGACTGGTAACAAGTTACGCTGCTTTGTTTACATTTATTTGTTTGTACAGTATCTGTACATGTGTTTGACTGTATAACTATCTACACACTTGTCGATTAGGATCGTTTTAAAAACAATTTGGAAAGTGATGTGTTCATTACTTTAAGATAGCAGATAACCATGAAATCTGGCTGACATATGGCAACATATTGAAATTATAAAAGATTAGTTTAAAAACAAAATAATATTTATTCACAAGTCATTCTTAAAGATATATCAACCGCGATATGTATCGAACAACTGTGCGATAGCTATTAGCAGTTGTGTGCAAGCTCCTATCGTGCCCACAACGTAATCACCGTGCGCACATCGAACGTCGTGTAACGTTGTGCTATCTTACAACTGTATGTTTGTCTTTTTTTGCGTCCCAACGGGCAATATATGTGCAATTATAATGAAACGTGCGTCTTCCACATTGAGTTATATAAAAATACGCCCGGATGATTTAAGAATAGATTGTGTAAGTGAAAAAAGATGTGGAATAAAAGAATGGCGTTAAAAAAATTCTGAAATACTCAAACAACATCAGAACCACCAATTGAAACAGTTTGCGAAAAAAAAATATGTGTGACCGAACAACTCACCAAAAATAGCGTGCTTACATCGTGCAACGTGCACACAAGTATAGTGTGCACACACCGTCCGCACATCGTTCATACATGGTGCGCACAACTGTGCGATAAACAATAATTCGCCCAGTTGCGCGGTTTATTTAGTGTATTATTACAGCCTTATTATTAACAGGTTCACTCCGTTTTTTTGTGTTTTATCTCCATAACATACAAAATATATTTCAATTAATCCTTAAATATTGCTGTTCATGGCATATCATTTGACAATTATATCTCAGGTTATGTTTGTGAAACATACAATAGCCAGAATAATTAACTATGTTAAGCTGATAAAGCACAACACCACTTTTGTAGAAAAGGAGAATGTGGCCAAAAGAGGAAACTAACGTAATTTGTTTTAAACCCTTCCCATTTCTTACGTACTAAATTATTTAAACCAAATTCTAGGTAGAGCATAATTGTAACAAGGGGACTCAATGTTGTATAGATAAAGGGTGTGACCCCTTAAATGTGTAAAGGAGCGGAGTCCATTAGACTTCCATAAATGAAGTTGCAAGGGGACAGGGCGGGCCCCTATGGCTAACCCAGTGGCACATGTATTCATGTGTTCAGAGCAAAATATCGCAGCGTAGGTTTACCTTCACAAATGAAGTTTCAAGGGGGCATGGTTGAAAAGCAGTCTCTAGGATAAAAACAAATGAAATCAGTTATACTACCGCTCCAAAAACATTAACCATTTATACATATTAACAGATCCTAGCCTATGAAGTATGCTTGGTCCCCGTTATCTTTGAATCAATGGTTGTGTTAGGTTCAAGAATTATCTTCTCTGGGGTTTTAGCACAATACATCGTATCTTGGTAGTTTGATAATTTGAATGCCTTTTCCTCCAGAAGAGTTAGTAATATTTAACAATTGAATTATAATGCATCCTTAGGACTTGGGTGTTGATTGTCGTATGAAAGAAGGGTGTCGGGATCGCTTGATGCTTAACGGACGAACATTCACAGCAATATTCGGGAATATTTTTAGTACTATATTTAATAAAGTTAGTTGTCATTATTGTTTAAATATTAAGGTGAGCGATACAGGCCCTATATGTCTCTTGCTATTACGAATAAGTAATATCAGTAAAAAGCTTAATCTTTCTTTCAATCAAACAATGAAAGCTGTTCAATATACCACCGTGCAACAGTACTGTGAAGGGAAAACGAGACACGAAAGTTAACGAACGTCGACGTGGTTCATGAGTTGAAATGAAACATTAACATGAATATCTGAATTAACTTTTTTTTATTTCAGGTCATCAATTTAATTGATGAAAGTACATTAAAAAAAATGTTTCTCGTTATTTTTGTTATTTATGTTAAAAAGTGTGTTACTGATTGCCGTTAAGTCATTTAGCAAATTGAGTCAGCTAATTCTGGTGTTTCGATTTCATGATGTATAATTTATGTTGCCATAGTCTTGGACGTTGTGCGTTGACACAGTATCAACATAATGGAGTTCCTTTATGTCACAGTCACACATAAAGGTTAATACTGAATATGTATGTGAACCGAATACATTGCATGCCTAGGCATTTTATCCTGTTTTCCTTTCACTTCCTCTTTTCCTTTCAATTGATCATATATTTTTTAGATTGAAAGTTGTTCACGTTAAAAACAGGTTTTTATTTTGAGTTAAATGTCTTCTTTGAAATATTATATAAATAGCTAAATGGTATATAAATAGCACATATTTTTAAATTGCAATATTATATATAAGTTAATTGACCTTATTGTTTTAAAATCATTACAGAATATTGCTACATTTGGTGTTTATATTTGCCCGCTTGAGACATTTTACCTCTACGGTGATGTAACAAATTAATGCTTCTCTGGTAATATAATAATATAAAGTAGCCTATTCGGTATAAGTACACTTGCCAATCGAAGGGAGGCAATAACCCCATCCATTCATGTTAGTTTATAGACAATAAGATATAATCATTGAGTAACTATGGCTTTTGGTAAATTAACATGTTTTTAAGTGTCGTCTTGGTTGGACGGCGTTTTTCATGTTGAAAATGTATTGACATTCATGCCGTCGGTATTTAAACGGAGACACAAGATCACAAGAATTATTCTTTCAGAAAAAGGCTATTATCTTGGAGTACCTGGTTCCGCTTGCTTGGTTCTTATAATTGCCTTCGCATTGATAGTGTGACATATGCTGTATTAATGCAAAATGTACTACATACTATAATATCCGAAATTGAACAGGTAAAGTATAATGAAACATCAATCTTTCTAGAATTTCAAATTCCAATATCTGAAATTTGGATGGGGGGGG